GGAGGCGGCGCGGGAGGGCCTGCCCCGGGCTTCGGCGGGCCGGCGGCGGGAGGAGGCCGGTTGGCTGCGGGCGGCGACGGACGTTGTCCAGCGCGGGATGGACATGTCCGGTGCGCGGAGGAGCGGATTTTTTTAGGGTTAGGGGTGGAGAGATCCGAAAATTTCGGGAGAGGGTCTATATATAGATATAGAGGGAGCTAGGAGAGTCCAAAAGAGGTGCGGTTTTCGTCCACGCGATCGTGATCGAACGCTCTAGATGATGGAGAGCGTTTAGGTGGGTTTTGGGCCAAAATGGAAGGGTGTTGGGCTGCAACACACATGAGGCCTTCTCGGTCCCTCGGTTAACCGTTGGAGTATCAAACGGAGTTTAAATGGCACGAAACTTGACAGGCGGTCTATCGGTAGTAAACCAAAGCCGCATGACAAGTCTCGGTCCAATCCAGAAATGTTTAACCCCCACACACGAAAAGAAGGTAGAAAGGACCACCGGAGGAGATAGGAGCGCCGGAATGCAAGACGGACAATGGGGAAAATGCTCGGGTGCATGAGACGAACACGTATGCAAAGGCAATGCACATGATGACATGATATGAGATGCATGACAATGACAACAACACACAGAGACAAAAACCCGAACCCGAGGAAATAAACTAACTTAGCGCCGGAAACGGCAAGAGTTGGAGTACATATTAGGTAAATTACATCCGGGGTGTTACAACCTTCCACACCAGGAAGTTGTCACGGGTGAGTTTCTCCATGATGGTGTGGCCAAGGGAGGCGAGTGAGGGCATGGCCATGGCGTGGGAGGAGGAAGAAGATGACATGATCTAGATGTGTGAAAGAACTAGGCTCTGTATACCATGTAAAACAAGAGGCTGGAAGTGCATGCCGTGGCAGGGGCGTATTGCATGTTTATATAGGCCAGACATGCGGCTAAGATTACAAAGGAGGTTAGGGATAGGTTAGGTGTGGATGAATCTTTAAGCTAAGCTAACTACCAAGATCTAATCACAACAACCTAACCTATCCTAACTACAACACGCTCACCACATATCTAGCCGGCATGGTTTATAACATACCGTGGCAAGGCATACAATGATGTTCAACAAGAAGGACCTGCCCCGGGAAGTTGCAGTCGGCTTTGCGGCAGCAACTGGCTTCTGCAGCGAGCTACACCAGGTGTTGTCTTGGTCATTTAGCTCCACTCTCAATGATGCAATTGTGGTAACCAGTACCATTCCGAGGCAATTTTCTCGTAATCCTTGCATGTAACGAAATGCACCTTACAATTTGAATATGTGTTGGAAAACAATTAATTTAAGACATAAAATAAAAAAACTAAAATTTTGAGATAAGCATTATGTATAAACCGAAAGGAAGGAATACCTTACACCCTGCACATGTGGGAACCGACGCCATATGGAATATGCCGGCCGTAGCGCATAGAAAACTCAAAGCTATGGCTAGGAGCCTAGGAGACATATCACATCGATCCTACGTGCTGACAACTCGGCCTCAAGCTGGCCGGGCGGAGCTGCTGCCACCAAAACCGAAGCTGACAAATCTCTCTGTATATATATACATATATGTATATGTAGGTAGCAGATCCCTCTCGCGTCCCTACTCGCCGAGCAGCAGCAATGGCTGCTGCAATAATGCGCCCTCACCGCCTTCTCTCCATGTCAGTGTGCATCATCATTTGCCTCTCCTACTCGGTGGGTCTAGCTACTGCGCTCTCCTTCAGCTTCAACTTCTCCAGCCCCGGCTCCGGCGACCTCTGCGATACGGAGCTCAGCTGCGAACGTGACGCATGGATGGGTTCTGGCGCCATCGACCTAACGAGGAACTACATCGCAGCCAACGTCTTCAGTGTTGGCCGGGCATCGTACGCTCGCCCAGTGCCGCTCTGGGACGACGCCACCGGCGAGGCGGCCAGCTTCTCCTCCAACTTCACGTTCCAGATCAAGCCCCAAAACAGATCAGAAGACAATGTTGGTCTATGTAACTCGAGCTTCACCAACGACGCTAGTGCTGACGGTATATCTTTCTTCCTGGCACACTATCCGTCAAGGCTCCTTCCCAATAGCGGGGGCGCAAACCTCGCTCTGTTTGATTTCAGCAACGGCTTGAATGCCACCGGTGATGCACAGTTAGTCGCGGTGGAGTTCGACACCTACCTCAACTTCTGGGACCACAGCGACAACCACATGGGCATAGACGTCAACTCCCTCGACTCCAGGGCCTACACCAACGTGACCAAGCGCCTAGTCTCGAATGACGCCATCTTGACCGCCCAGATCAGCTACGACAATCGCACGAGCGTTCTGGTCGCCCTTCTCCACATCGACGGCGACAGACCATGGTACAGCGTAAGCACGTGGGTGGACATGAAGAGGGAACTACCCCAGCAAGTCTCAGTCGGCTTCGCAGCATCAACTGGTCTCTGTGCCGAGCTGCACCAGGTGACGTATTGGTCGTTCAGCTCCACTCTAGATGATCCCCCGGTGCCTACCAATAACAGTCCACGGCGACGCCTACCACTAGTGCATGTGTTGGTGCCATCAGCAACAGCAGCTTTTCTTGTGTTGCTCTGTGGTGCCGCCGCCGTCATAGTTCGTCGGCGATGGAAACGGAAGAGGTTAGCTAGTTCCGACGATGAAGGACACGAGCAAGATGAGTTCGAGAGAGGGGTAGGACCTAGACGGTACCGCTACCGTGAGCTCGCGGCAGCCACAAATGACTTCGCGGAGCAGGGTAATATTGGGCAAGGGGGCTTCGGCAGCGTCTGCCGGGGCGGCGGCCTTAGCGACCACGACAGCCCGGTGGCCATCAAGATGCTCTCCATGGAATCGTCTGCGCAGGGGAGGAAAGAGTTCGAGGCGGAGGTGAAGATTATAAGCCGGCTGAGGCACCGAAACCTTGTGCACTTGCTAGGCTGGTCCGACAGCCGCAAGGGGCTCCTGCTAGTCTATGAGTTCATGCCGAAAGGCAGTCTCGACCAACACATTTACAGCGAGAACCGTCTCCTCACTTGGTCAGAAAGGTACGTGACTATGCCTTATAAATTAATTGAAAACTTAAGTTTGTTCTGAACTTCTTTGAATCTGATCAAAGTCTATAGAAAAACATTCCAACATCTACGACATCATATTAGTTCTTATTAGATACTTTATATTGCATTTCTATACTATATATGTTTGACGTTTTAGACCTCAACACATTTTTCTATAAACTTGGTTTGACTTAGAAAAAAAAATCAGGAACTTCAGTTAACTTGGAATCACCAAATGATTGTTACCTCCTTTTCCATCATTGCCGTTATTATAAATTAATTTAAGCACTATTAGATTGAGCAAATCAATGCGTAAATATGCATGGTACTAATTTATTAATCCGGCCTTGTTGAACGAACACACATACAGATACAAGATCATCCTTGGCCTGGGATCTGCACTACGCTATCTCCACACAGAGTGTGATCAATGTGTGCTGCATGGTGACATAAAACCTGAAAATATACTCCTCGACTCATCATGGAGCACCAAGCTAGCAGATTTTGGGCTGGCGAGGCTCGTGGATCATGGAGCCGGGCCACAGACGACGAAGAACATCAAGGGCACCCTATGGTACATCGACCTGGAGTTTATTCTCTCACACCATCCCATCCCGGAAGCGGACATCTACAGCTTCGGTGTCGTTCTGTTGGAGGTCGTGTCCGGCCAGCATCCAGGAATGGGGATGAAATTCCGGGTCAACGAGGACATCCCGCTGCTGATGTGGATCTAGAACCTGTACAAGAAGGGCACCATCCTTGAAGCGGTGGATAAAAGGCTACATGGGGACAACCAGCAGCTCGACCACAACTGTAAGTGGCAGTTGCATCATGCGCTGGTCGTCGGGCTCTGGTGCACGCACCCATGCCTAGAGGCGCGACCGTCCATTGTGCAGCTCATGAATGTCTTGCAGTCAAAGGACGTCACGCTGCCGGCCCTGTCTTGGCCAGCCCCGGCCAACATTACTACTGGATTACATGGGTATAACAGCGCATCAACCTCATCGGTCAATGCTTGAAGCGACGTGTCTCGGGCTAGCAGTGGAAGATGACCAAATCTACTTTGCCGGAGACTAGTTGTTACAACCTAATTGCACAAACGCACGTCTGAATAGTTTGTCAAGACCCTGTATATATTGTCGTGTACTTCTGATTCACTAGTAACCGTGCACGTGCAATGCACGTTACTAGAATTTAGTATTTGCATTGTGGTTTATTATGCATTTGTAGATTTTTTGCATGGTATGCACCTAAGTAATAATCATAGAATCATAACTTGAGCACTCATTATGAATAATAATATTATGTTTTGATATACTTGGATGGGACAAAAGTTAATCATTTGTTTGCTAGTGATACTACCACAAGATAAAATAATGACCTAATAAATTTGATCATAATAGATCACAAAACACGGCTCATTTTTGACGCAATCAATCATGTCCATCCGTAATTACCAGATTCAATGGCTAAGAGTTACACAAAAGAATCATTGTTAACAGCAAGCTCCCCATCACATTGTCTCGGGCTCAAGAGAAATGTATTTGTAAGGTCCTTTTAGAAAGAAAAAGTTTATCATCGAACAATCTCATTAAGGTTTTTCAAGAAAAATGGACACGACATGAGTAGTAGTACACACTGATTACACACTTATGTGTGTACTACGCTCTGTCGCATCTGACTGATGTACGGTCATACACCGGACGCGTCGTCAACCTTTGCCGTCGCGCGCGTACGTACACGCGCACCAAAATCGAGCAGAAAAAACGGCGACTTGATTTGATTAGTCGACGCGCGCGAGCATCAATCCACCGGTGATCGAGACGTTGATTAGTTCTTGGCTTGGACGTCGGGGGCGGCTTTCTTGCTTGCCGGTGGCGGGGGCGGCAGCTGGTTGCCGTCGGAGTCGAAGGCGATGTGCCCGGAGAACTGGAGCGGCCGGCACTTGTCCCCCATGATGATGGCCTTCCTCCACACGGCCTCGTCGTCCTCCGGCCCCAGAGCGGCCACCGCCTCCTCGTCGTCGTCGCTGCTGCCGGACGGAGACCGCCTGTTCCACGACACCATCCTGGCCGCCTTGCCGCCGATCCCGCTGAGCGTGGCCGACAGCAGGTGCTTCCGGTTGCTCGCGCCGACGCTGCTGTCCGCCTTGGCCAGCGGCGCGGACGAGGAGGACCCCCGCTGCTGCCCCCACAGCTTCTCGTGCGTGCTGCTGGTGCACAGAGACACCACGACCGCCGCCACCACCAGGACGACGAGGATAACAAGGACGAGAGTCGCCGCCCCGGGTGCTCCGGCGGTGTGGTTAGCAGCGAAGAGGAGGAGCCTCGCCATGTCGCCCGACGGCCGGGAGCTCGCCGATTTATGAAGACGGCTACTCGCTGAGCTTGCAAGCCGGGGAGCAGAGAGATCACTGAGAGCACGGACGCGTAGGAGACGAGCCGCGGTTTATATGCACGCACGCACGATCGGGCACCGGAGACTGGAGTGGAGAGAATCGTGGCTGGACATGGCGCTCAAATTCCTTGGCCGTGCAGGACCGGTTAGATTGACCCGGCCAGCGGCGACGGCGATTGACGGTACAGGTCGTCGCCCGCCCGCCGGAGACTGGCGCTAGCAGACAGCAGATGCCGCCTGCCGGTCAAGTCCATCGGTATCGCGTGGGCCAGCTAATCACCTTTGAGCGCAGCGATGGTTTGACCAAACGAGGACGATGCTTGCCCTGTTCCTCCTTCGGAAATGATATCTAACAAACGTCGGCCAGGGAGCCCATCCCAGCGAACGACTTCCTGCAGTTGCACGGATCTTGGCGCAAGGCCGACGCATGTATAGATCAGCTGAAGTCGTTCGTTGTCGCACGTTTCCTAGCGAACGTTCCTTATGTTTTTCTCTCCAAAAAATCCACAACCAACGTGCGCGAGGAGGAGTTCAAAGGCTCAGTTCTTTTCTGGCTTATGGACGACTTATTGTGGAAAATAAGCCTAAGCTGAAAAGAACTCGCTTTTTTGTATTGAGCTTAATTTCCAGCCACAGCCGGTCCCTTCATGTTGGGGAGAAGCCAGGGGAGAGCAGCTTCCCGAGCGCAGCCCTTTAAAAACTGAAGCGGTACATCGCTATGCCCTCGGCGTTGGCAGTATTTACAACAGAAATGCCACCCGCGAAAGATATAACCCCTGGCATCGAAGGCATCTCTCCCGACGCATCATCAGCTTCGCGCGTCTGCTAGGTTTCCTCGCCGCCGCCTCTTGTCCAGCGAGCCGCCGCCGTCGCCGCCGTCGCCGTCCTTCCCGACGCCATGCAGGGAGGTTAGCCAACGTCGCTATCCTGCCCCAACGTCGCAATCGCTGGCCTCCGCCCGTCCCTCTGCTGCTTCCCGTCCTGCTGCACATCCGGCCTCCACACTACTCCCATCTTCACGGCAAGCTCCAGTCCGATCGTCCCCGTCCAAGCTCTTACCAAGGTAAGCACCCGTCTGTCCTTTTATCTTTCTCCTCCGGACTTCTTTCCAGTTCTGCATGTGATGCATGATGTTATAAACCATGTCATGCGATGGCATCTATCTGTGTCCGGGGTTCAATACATGTGTACGTGTCTGTGTAGGTTTGAACAATTGTCACTGGGTAGGACTGCTAGCTGCCTACAGATACGCTCCTGTGGCAATCGGCCGAATGATCTACACGTACATTAGTATTAGTACTAGTAGCTCTATAAAGATCAAAGCAAAGATCGTCCAGCAGCTTGATGTGCGAGTCTTATCTTGGTGTTCCTAATCGATTGCTCGAAGGTCTAGCCAGCTTGGGGCAAAAACAACTAGTCAGCTTAGCTTTGTTCGTGCTGGTCGTCGTCGTTCTTCATCGCCGTCGTCGGAAGTACTCGGCGCACGGACTGGGCCAACATATGCCACATTAGAGAGTGAACAAAATTACTTCTAATTGTACACTGATTGCTATGTACGTGTATTTATATGACCAAAAATACTGTCATGTATGAATTTGGTGTTGTGGCAGTGAGCTAATATTTTTATTAAATATAGTGGGATTTTATTACTGCTAAGGGTTATCTGGTATGGGTTATGTGTTATTTGATTAAAATTGTAACATTCATTTTATGATAGATGGATAAAGGTAAATCTGGGAAAGCAAATTGGGATCCTGTTGCCCATAAAATTTTCCTTGACATTTGTGTTGAAGAAGTGAATGCAAATAACCGTTCTGATGGACATTTGAGCCCAATTGGGTACGAAAATATGATAAGAAAGTTCAATGAGCGGACAAACAGAAATTATGTTCGCAAGCAATTCAAGAATAGGTGGGATTTACTTAAAAAAGAGTACAATTGTTGGAAGACGTTGAACCAAAAGGCATCTGGAATTGGAATAGATCCTGTTACTAGGAGCATTGCAGCTACTGATGAATGGTGGGCGACTGAGATACAGGTATTGAAGCATTCATATTACTTTTACTTGTTACTTTTGCCATCCACTTTCTTAATTAATTTATTTGTGTGATATTTTTGCAGAGAAATGAGATTGCCGCCAAGTTTCGATATGCTCCATTAGTTGATGAGCAAAGAATGAGTTTTATATTTGATGACCATAGTGTGACGAATGCATATGCAAGGGTCGCAACTCCCTCGTCTCAAGTTGATGCCTCTCATATTAACATTGAAGAGGATAATGAGGACGGCTCGGGATGTGAGTTAGATGTTAACCAAGTTACACCCACCAATGTTTCATCTAAAGGTTGAAAGAAGAGATCATGTCCTTATTCACCGAGTCCCAAGATGGTCCAAAAGGCGGCAAAAGATAGTGATGATAAAATGGTATTTAACCGTATGGTTGACCTTTGGGAGAGGAGGGAGATTAGCCGCAATTCGGCGATGTCTCAAACAAATGTGGATCATGTGAGAGATGAGATAAAAGAGATGACGACCATGGTGGTGAACGATGGATGTCGGCCTGGAAGTGATGTGTATTTCTATGCTCTACAGCTGTTTACGAAGAAGGAACATCGTGATGTATTCAGTGCCCTCAAGGATGAGGCTCCTAGTGTGAGGCTTGAATGGATCAAGCGGACATGGGATCTCTTTATGAAAAAAGATTAGAACTTCTGTGATGTTATTTGCTTTGAACAAAATTACTTGCTATCGACTTGTACTGTCGTGAACCTATGTTTTTTTTGGAACCTCTTGTTTGCACTCAGATTGTAATATAGGGAAACTGGATCATTTGTCATCAATTCGTATGCATCGTGGATCTTTTTTCTAGTCGTTTTTAATGCCATGTGTCGTTTTTGATGGCTCAAATTATTTTGTTTTTCTGTGTACCAAATTATAATGCATCTATATTGTGTTCTTTATGCGACAGATGGATATCTCTGTTGAGGATGAAGATGAAGAATTAGATTTCTGCATTCTTGCAATGGCACATTATCTTCAAAGCAAAGAGAGGGTGCCCTATGCACCTAGAAGAGCACCAATGATGACGGGGTTGCAATGGGTGCAAGAGAAAGAGATGAATCCAAAAGCATTCTACTCAATGTTTAGGATGCGGAGGTCAGTGTTTTACCCATTGCATGACATGCTAGTTGAGAAATACGGTTTAAAGTCAACTTGCAACATGTCAAGTAAAGAAGCATTAGCACTATTTTTATGGACTTTGGGGACATGCCAGACCACCGACAATATTGCAGATCGATTTGAACACAGTCGGTCTACCATTAACAAAAAGTTTAAAGAGGTTTTAATGTGTGTATATCGTATGGCTGGTGATTACGTACGACCCAAAGATGAAACTTTCACCCAAGTTCATGACTCGCTTAAAAAACCAAGATTTTGGCCTCACTTCAAGGATGCCATTGGGGCCATAGATGGAACACACATACCTTGTATTGTGCCTGAAAAAGAGCAGCCCAAATATCGCAATAGAAAAGGTGTCACCACTCAGAATGTCATGGCAATATGTGATTTTGATATGAGGTTCATTTTTGTTGTTGCTGGATGGCCTGGATCTGTTCATGACACCCGTGTATGGGCTGATGCACGAGCTGAATATCCCAGTTTCCCACACCCTCCGAATGGTAATGACTCGTACATGCATTTTTTTACACTAGCCTTTTGCTTTAAATTATCGCTCTTCATTGTATTTTTGTTTCCTGTATAGGAAAATACTATCTTGTTGACTCAGGCTATCCAAACAGAGATGGCTATCTAGCACCGTACAAAGGACAACGGTACCATGTACCTGATTTCCAGCAAGTACCTCCACGAGGGAGAAATGAGACCTTTAATCATCTACATTCCTCACTACGAAACGTCATCGAAAGAACTTTTGGTGTTCTCAAGATGAAATGGCGAATCCTTCTTGGCATTAGGCGTTACAAAGTTGAAACACAAACAATGATAATTACTGCATGTACTTGTCTTCATAACTACATCCGTGAGAGCAAACTACCTGATGAGCATTTTGACATAGTTGAGAATGGATCCTATGTTCACGAGGAGAGCGCTTCTCATCACTTTGCACCCTATGATGAAGGCAATATGGGTAGCGTACGAGATGCTATTGCTGCGAGTGTCTTTCCTTGATGACTAGCTTTATTGTGTATGCTTTTGTTGGGAGAACCATGTAATATATAGAATATCTTTCTTTCTTCACAAGTACTACGTACATTTATTTTTATTTTCCATATGTGCGACAACGATATTCCTTATGTGGACTTGTTACAATTAAGCGATGTTTCAAAAAAAAAATATGTTCGTATGTGCGGCTAAGCACTACAGAATAACCCAATTATTATTCCATCAAAACAGAATTTAGGGGGTATTGCAGACTTTTTATTGTGTATATAGAAAATAAGCTAAACGGACAGAGGCTAAAAAGAACTAGATGGCTTATCTTCACTGAGCTTATTTCCACAGCGGCTTGTCAGGGGCTTATTTCCACAGTGGCTTCTGCATAAGCCAGAGGTGAAAAGAACTGGCCCAAACTCACGTCCTCCTGCGCATGGGGCAGGGCCACTTACCACTCGATTGAAGTAGGGTTTTGTGAACATTTGGGACCAAACTGCTGTATGTATTTTAAAGTTAAATTTATTTCAAATTTGGATTTTCTTCTGAAAATTTTCTATAAATCCCGAATATTTTTGATTTTTTATAGAACAAAAATCACAATTTTTAGAGGGGGTTTTGTGAAACTTTCCACATGCATTTTTAATTATAGGTGGAATAGCAATTTCTTTGTATTTTAATCCATAACATTTTTTGCGTTCCAAATCTTTTTGCAATGCCCCATGGCAAACTTCCGTAATTTTTCACTTATTCATGGCAATTTTGGA